AAGAATCTAAATTGGGATTGAAATCCGTTCGCAAGATTTGCATGGTTCACACGATATTCGCTCTTAAATATGCAATCTGACCTTACTAATTTTGTGCGCGGTTTTTAATGCATCCAGAATTGGCGCGTCGTAAAATAATTTCATACGAGCGTGTACTAACCCGTCACATCGGATCGATCATTTTAATACACCTTCGTTCTCACTTTTTCCGAGAAACTGACATACGATGAAAACGATTCGACTGTCACTGTACGTACATGTACCAGTCCGGAGGGCATCGATTACCATTCGTTAGTGGCAGAAAGAAGAGCGTTGCAGTTCGCGAGTGTGTCCAGTGCGATTCTCACAGCTCTCACAGTGTTCTTCTCTTCCTCGTCAAGAAGATACGCGATCTCACGAGTGTGAGGAACGAAGATATAGCGCGAGTGAAATGACGTGGTCCAGAGACGTTAATTTCAGAATTTTTCTTTTTCTCATTAACATGATACGCGACAAGTGCTAGAAACGAAGATATAGCGCGAGTGAAGCGACGTGGTCCAGAGACGACGTTAATTTCAGAAATCCACCGCCGGAGATGCCGCGATCTCTCGCCGCACGCGCGCACACGCGCGTGAGCAATTCAATTAAGGAAGCGCAGACGTGCGTGCCCGCTCGAGCCTGATCGCGCAGCGAGATAATTTACGTCGTACTCCTCCCCGTGGGATGAATGAACGTGACCCACGCATTTTTTCCTCCCGCTCGGGTCACGACGCAGAGAGAAGAAGAAGAAGGAAAAAGAGGGGTAGAGAGAGAGGAGGCGAGCGAAGGACTAAAGAGACGAGGGTGGGGCGCGTGTAAGAATTGTACGGACTTCAAAGCGTCCGATAAGACCCGCCCGTCGTGATATCGAGCACCGAAGGGATCCCGAATAATTCGCGCCCGCGATCTCTTCTTATCTCTCGCGACGAGGAATCGAATATCCTTGACTGCCAGGCGACGTCCGATTTATAGCGTGTGTTGCGCACGCGAACGATGTGTCACTCATCAAGATAGATTAAGAACAAGGAAAACAACGACGCGTTGCGCGCTGATCGTCCGCAAAGATCGCCAGCGCACGCCGTGATAATCCTTCAGCGTCTTTTCTACCGTAATGTAAAGATAAAAGTGTGCGTGTATACAACACACAGATTTCCGGTCTTACTCGCGCGAGGATCGAGCGTATCGGCGCGTATCGGTCCCCCGATTTCCCGCGCGGAAGCGTCTCGCGATTTCACGAGTGAGATAGTAAAATCGTTACAGTCTAGAGAGAGGGGAGGAAAAGAAACGAGGAGGTGAGAAGAGATGAGCCGAGGGCATCTGCTCAGCGTGACACACGCCAATGGTCTCTCCCCCCCCCCCCCGCGATACGGATAGATGCGACGTGGGAGGATCGTTATCGGACGGGTAATAAGGTCGAGAGCAATTGAACTCTTGGCGCGACGTCGGTGGATTTTCTCGTTGATCCAGAAGAACGGACGACGTCGCCTTCCGTCGATTATGGAGAAGAAAAGTGGAGGAGAGGCACGGCCGAAGATCGAGATCGTACGGGTCTCGTCCATCGAACGTAGCCACTTCCGACCGCTGGACGGGGTGCAGCTACGAGCGACCTACAGCCACGTGCGAGTGGGTACTTACTGCCCGGAACCGGAAGCGGCCGGCGGACCGACCGAGAACAAGCCGCTCGTGCCGATCGAACAGACGCGACGCTTCAAGAAGTGAGTCTTTTCGTCACTTCTCCTCGATCAATATTAAGGCCGGAGCACAGATCTTTGCGTAACATGTAATAAAGTATTAAAAAAATCAACCCTCACAGGAAAAAATGTTTGGTTGATTTAATTAGAATTCTGGTGGACAATGAACGATCCAGAATTCTAGTTGAAACAATCAACATTCAGTATAGATCTAAGCAGAAATCTAGTAGACACACACACACACACACACTTATAACTAAAATTCTGAATCATTATTTTCTACCAAAATTCCAGTTAATTCAATCAAATCATTTTTTTCCGTGCTCCAATTAGTCTTTCATGGAAAGAAATGAAATAAAGTTTTGATTCATTTTCTTATATATTGTTAGACAAACGTAAGCACAATAAATGTAGTAAACTTTAAGTCTTAAGGAATTGACCAATTAATTATTCTTCTCACATTCGACTGTGATTGATTAATTTCTTATGGCTTAAGGCTTAAAGCTTAGCTAATATCCTAGTAGAAAGCTCATTATCCTAGACTCTATGGTCTTACTTTCATCACGAAAAAAACGCGAAATATTTTGTTATCGCGATAGGGCGTAATCAGTTTTGCGAAGATAACAACTGTCTAGCCGATCGATAATGCCATTTTTTTTATCTTGTGTCTCATATCTAATGTGTCGAGATATCTAATAAATTGTAAAAAATAGATTTTTTATTATTAATTCGTTTTTAATATTGCACGAAATAGAACTATTTGAAAAATACTATATCTTTATAGAAATTTGGGACCAGTATCAAGACTGCTGAGACGTCGTCATAACGCGACATGCCTTGCCACCAAATCCTGTGATAACATTTATAGCGTGAATAGGAATAGTAATTCTCTGGACTGGAGAGTCAACCAGAACGCCAACGAACAAGGTAATTCATTAACTGTGACTCATAACATAGTTAACGAACTGGAGAACTCAGGAGTCGGTCATTCAATTACGGCTTGTTCACTTCTTTCAAATTTTATTTTTTTTTCTTGATAATTGCACATCTAAATTTCTTTCTCGATATAATTTATATACAATAAATCCATTAAAAAAAACTTTTTTTATTTAAAAAGATAATGCCTACTATATAGCTAAGAAAAAACAAATTTCCAAAAAAAAAAGTTTAAATATTTGGAGTCATTAAAATTTGTAATATTTCAAAATGCAATGTTGGTATAATAATCGATTATAGAAAAATAAAAGTATCTTCTTTTAAAGTATGTTCTTTATATGCGTTTTGTCTTTTTTTCTTTATATTTCATCTTTTATAAGCAACTAAAAACTTATCATTTCAATTCATAAAATTGAATTCGATTTTCATCTTCCATACAAGGGAGAAATGTTTATCAAGTTCAGTTTCATTAGATAGATTAAATCAAATTAATTAAATTAGTTAAACGAGTAAAATACTTTCGTCATTTCTGCGGATGCGACTTGTGGAAAGATGTAATTTTGAAGCTTCGATTTGTCATTTTTCGTTCTTTTCCCTTCCAGATCTACAAGCTAGACAAAGCAGCAGCCTAGACTGGAGAGTAGGAAGATCCGTCACTTTCAGCTCCAACCAACTCCACTGGGGAAATACGACGCGAAGCGCCGAACAGCTTTCCAGAAGCACGCCTCTCACTTCCGATCATCTTCAGACACCGAGCACGAGGTATGCTAATCCACGTCGATGCACCTCGCGTGCAAACTCGTTTCATGCACGCAACGAAAGCAAATAATTTATGACAAGCTCCTCTGAGAGTGCGGCCGCCGAGCAGAAAAGTATAACGGTAGACTTTTGCGAGTCAAGAAGAAATCAGCGGGCAGTAATAATGGGATGAGGGCGGGGGAGGTTTAGCGAGAAGCAAATCGCGATAACGTCGTGTACACACAATGCACACGCAACGAGATGGATACCAAGAAAACGCATTATTCGGTTACATTGGAAACAGCAATTAATTTGCTAAAAAACAAAGCGGGTAACAACATTCGCTCGGAAGACATGCGATGGGAATGTAAAACTCGACGGAAACGCAGTTCGCCGCGGAAAAAGAAGATAAATTGATTACACTTTTATGAAATAATTAGCGAAGTGAAAACTGCGCGATGTGGGTTCCATTTATTCTGGGATTCAAAATACATATAATTAACATATTGACATAAAAAGAAAAGCACATTTAAAATTCCACATATCGCTTTTTTATTTCAAAAGTAACGCAATCCAGAAAATTAGAATTTCCCAGAAAAGGAGAAAAATTATTTATCAATTTTCTAAAAAATTATTGACAAATCATGTAATCGATAAAAATAATATATACTTAATATATGATCAAATGTCATATTTGCCATTTTCACTTCACAACTTAAATAAACCCTTCTTGAATTTTGACAATTTTTTTAATTATTCTTCTTGAGTCGTGATGATTTTTATAAAATTGGAAGCATCAGAATCGAGAAAAATACATAAAGAAAATGTTTATAAAAACCTACATTAAAAAGTAAATTTTTTAATGAAGCAACATTTGCCATCGATAGAATAGATTTATATTTGTAAAACATATTTTAAACTGAATTATAATATATCTAACCAAAAAAACGAAACAAGTTATAGGAAACAAGTTATACGATAACTGTCGAAATGAAATAAATGTAATTTTGTATTAATTTGAAATAAGAGGAGAGTTTTCGTTACATTTTACAAGTGTACTCTATCAAATGCAAATATTGATTTATTGAAAAATGTATTTTACAAGGATTTTTATTATCTATGTATTTCTTCGCTTTTGACATCATCAGCCTAAATATCCGTAGTGAATGTTCATAAAAGCCTAAAATTAGTTCACTTTTGATGATTTTGATAAAATAATATTTACCTATACTGCTTATGATAATAATTTCAAAGTTATATTTTTTAATTATGACACTTTTAAAGTGAAAGAATAATATAGTAAACATCTCAAAGAGAGAAAAAGGCGTTTGAAAAATTTGTTGTCAATTATAAATCATTTTCATTATATTATATTTCCCTCGTGTCGGATATAAGTATCATCAGATGGTGGTGAGTGACAAAAGTATCACTTTAGATCGAAACTTGTGTCGCTATTGAGACGACTCTCCCCACGCCTGTCCCGACCAGGAAGTAAAGGTTCACTGCAGTCGTCGCCGACAATTTGCCCCTGGGTCCAAGTCGAATACTCGACGGAATCGATCGAGGGAGG